TACTTCTAAAAGTCGTGTATCATGCATAGGAACGTTGACGCCTGCAAGGTTTTTTTTAGTTTTACAGGCAGCGTGTGGACGAAATGCAGCTTACCAAAGAATTTTATTGGCTTCTATAAAAATTAGAACGTCAAATACTGAAAATCTATAAATAATACAATCTTTGGAAACAATGCTAAAATGTGTTTAAATATATATAGTCCATGGCTTTGCTGAAAATTTCTCCTCTACACTAATTTCTTCTTCTGTTTTCTATCTGATCTGCATTAAACACTGTCCTGATAATACTATTACTAAAATTTCAATCTATGCTGATCACACTCTTTTTGTGTCATACCTGGGTACACACAATAGATACACACTGCAAACATTCAATTATTTGGCAAGGGAAATATTTCCTTGTATTAATTTTTAAATAAATTAAAAATTTGCAATGACCACTCTATAAATGCTGCGAATTATTTTCTGATGAAGTGGCCAGTTTAGAGGAGGCCATTTCAGTAAATCTATTTTTTGATCGAGTAATAGTAAGCAATTGATTCTTCCTGGGGTTGAATGTAACTCACTAGGAAGATCCCCAAACAAAAATGGTTTATAGGTCACAGGTTAAGAAGGTTTGCATAATTTATACTTTAAGACCTCATCTAAATTAAGCTTCACAAAATGTCATATTTTTTTCCTATTTTCAGCCTTTTTGACCTTGAATCAAGTACCAACTGTCAAAATGATTATATAGAATTTCGTGACTCAGATGAAACAGGCCCATTGATTGGTCGGTTCTGTGGTAATTCAATTCCAACTAATGCCTCATCTACACAAAATCTTTGGATTAAGTTTGTCTCTGACGGATCAGGAACGGGTACCGGATTCATGGCTAATTATGCACAAAGTAAGACACTATGCAGCCTTCTCCAAACTTTGCTTTGTTTTTGGTCGGGTGGGGGGTAAGAAGTGGGTGGGTGCCCCTTTTTTTTATCCCTATTTCACATTAATGATTATGTATATGTATTGAAATATAGAATTGCAAAATTGAATATTAATGAATGGATGAGTTATCTCGATTTATTACATCGAATATATCCAGCCCAATTGTGCAACCGAATGAAAGGGTGACTGGCTGGCTTAATAGTCTGGTATTAACAGGCACCCAGCAACTGCGCAAATTAGTGGAAGGGTGCCTGGAGAGATAACAAGTAGTGATTGAATGGCTATCCCTGCATTTATATTTCCCTTACTGCTGATTTTTCAATATCAATGTTTTGTAATGGTTTACTTTTAACGTTTTTATTTGGTGAGATTTTAATAAGTAATAATTATAATTTCTCTTGAATACCTTAGGGACTACAAACGATTACATCGGACCCTCTGGCCAGTTTTCCAGCCCCTTCTATCCATCAAACTACCCTGATTCCGTTTCATTAAGATGGACTATTACTGTATCGCCTAGTGCTGTAATGCAGCTAAGATTTATAGATTTTGTACTTGAGGATTACCTGGGCATTTGTTACGATTATGTACAGGTATGTATACTGTATGAATTTGATTCAAATAAATTCAAGAATAATATTAAAAGTGGTTTACAGCAATTTTCGCTGGCGCTCATTTTATACAAATAATAAATATTTATGAGTACAACATCCAATCTGTCACTGAATAAAAGGTTGCACAAATTAGAAACATTCGTTACTTGTTTTATACGAGACATACTACATATACAAATTCACTGTTGTGTTGTTTCAAAAGGCCAGTATATACACCAACTGAGGTCTAGGTATACCCAGCCTAGGCCTATGCTAGGAATAGTCAAAGTTCAGGTTTGAGGTAATATATACACACATCTTCACTTTAAAGGTAGAATTTAAATATTTTATTGATTTTTAATGGTTGATTTGGCAATATTTTTTATCACAAATGGGCTTTACCCATTTCGAGAGTAAGGGCCTGTTTCTGCTGAGCAAAAAACCATGTGTTTTTAAACGGTTATTAAAACATGTGTTTTTTTCGCAGCAGAAACAGACCATAAAACAAAAACATGTTTAAGAATGCGTTCCAAAAATGTGTGTTTTAACACACATTCGTTATAGGGTTTGCACTCAAAAAACAAAATAAAAAGTTTTGTGGTACACTTTTCTGCTGCAACGCAATACCGTGTTATTCATGACCAATCGGTGACTCAAATTGACTTCTTCATTGGTTTGATCATTTGTGGGAAATTCGGGGTGAATAAAAAAATGAAACCAACAGGATTTTTCATACTTTTGCAGTGTGTTTATTTCTTTCGCAGCATGCGCTGTAGATCACAGGAAGTTTATGCCTTACTCTGATATGTATTATGAGGGTGGTAGGTGACCCATGCATTTTTCAAAACAGCTATACTAACACTGGTATATCCAATATTACTTCAGAGATACACATAATATTAAGAAAGTAAAGGTTAAAGGTTATGCATTTATACTGCGCAAAAACAAGTGAACAGATGTAATTGGAAAAACAAGGAAAGAAAACCAAGCCAGGACCCAAACAAAACAAATTCTTGTTCTCAACAGATATTTGATGGCTTAGACGAAAACTCTGCTCAATTATTAGAAGCTTGTGGTTCGACCATACCTAACACAGTCTATACAACAGGCAGTGTTGCTTCGGTGTACTTTGTATCAGATTATACCATTAATGAACGAGGTTTCTTGCTTGAATGGCAAGAAACAGGTTTTACACCTAGTACTCAAGGTAAATAACAAAAATGAAATAATAATAATAATAATAATACAGTACAGTTTATCTTGTAATCTATACAAAATACAATGGCAGCAAAAGCTGAAATACTCTAAAGCCCTGTCTATATCATCAATTTTTATTTGACAAAAAACTTGGTATGCCCATATATAGTCATGATGTGCCTATATATGGTAATGATATAATGTCATCATGACAATACCGTAAAATCTTCAATAGAATCTCTGGGCTTTTCCCTTTTTTTGTAACCTTTGCATGGGCTTCTTTTCAAGATAGGCTTCTTTTGAGATGGGCTTCTCTTTGAGGCTTCATTTTTAAAGAAAAGATGAGGGCTTCTTTCAAAATTAATACTGTAAATTTTGGGAATTACTACTATTAAACAATAGGTCCACTGCAAAAAATTTTCAACTATGAAATCCTGTTAAAAACAAGAAAATCATATGACTTATTTAAAGTAGCCTCGAATAGAAGCCCATGCCATCTTGATGGGCTTCTTTTGAGGCTACTTTTTCAAACTAAAGAGCGAACTTAATTTCAAAATTGGCTTCTTGAGATTCAGCCCATTGTGCTTCTATTCGAGTGTTATGGTATTTTGGCATGTCACAGGTTTTTGTCAAATAGAATTTGATAGATGTTAGTATCCTGGGTACGATGTTATAAACTATATTTAGTCGAGTCGCCGGCGACTACAGTAATCCCGGCAACCACATTTTGTTTTTGTAGCGGCCGCGGGTGGGAGGACAGATGGACACCCAGCAGGAAAAAAAAACAGCTAAACAAAGGGGAGAAAACTCCCTGAAGCTAACTGCCAACCAAGCCTAAGTTAATTAGTAGGTTTTAGTTTCATGGGACATCAACAACTTTTTTCAAAATGTCAAACTCAAAGAGCTCAATCACCAAGCTCATAGAGACTTTTTTGCATGATGCGTTACACAAATTCAACTATTATTCTTATTATTATTAATATTATTAATTATTAGTTTGGACACATATTCAGTACTTTCTTTTTTTTCCTCAGCCATGTGTAACTTTGATCTGCTGTCTGCAGATTCCAGCCAGACCTTGCAATCTCCTGGATATCCTAATGGATATGCAAATAATCTGCATTGTACCTGGCTAATCCATGCACCAGTTGGATCCACCGTGTACCTCAATTTCACAGCAATGCATGTGGAAACACATGCAAGTTGTGTTTGGGATTATGTTATGGTGTATGATGGTAGGTTGAATAATGTATTAGCTCTGGGCAATTATCTTGGGCTTTGTAATTTTTTGTTTGTTAAATTACCCATGTGCTACAGACTAGCTTAATAGTTTTAGTCCTATATATAGATGAATAAAGAAATTGTGTAATATAATATCTCTGACTGCATTTGAACCTGTGACCTCTCGTCACTGTCAAGGCGAGCATCATAACCATTAGACCACAGAGGTTTCATGGGTGAACAGATTCAAATGCCGCCAGATACACTCTATTACATAATAGGTACGGCTAGAAACAAATTATTGCATATAATATAAATTAAGAAAGCTGCTAACACTGTTAAATTATATATAAATCATCAAAGAAAGGTAAATACATTGTTCGAATAAAGATTTGATAATTAAGTTTCCCATTTGCAGAACCTTTAATTTGTGTAATATATTGTACAGGTGATTCTGAAAATGCACCCCAATTGGCCAAACTTTGTGGACGGGATGTCGGAAACCCTATCATCTCATCGGACAATACTCTGTTAATTGTTTTTCTGACAGATGCATATGTAAATGATACTGGATTTGAAGCTACTTACAAAACACGTATGTAAAAAATATCTCATCGTAATATGATTATAATTTTTTTTAAAGAAATGCCTTTTGTGCGCAGCTAATTCAAAGTCAATATACTGATCGTATTATCAATTAGCAACCAGTCACCGCTACAACCAATGTTTTGAATAAAATATATACATAAAGCAATTAAAGCAATTTAATATTGTCCAGTTATTTTGGACACTAGAAAATAGAAGCCTTAGGTGCCACCAATTTTCTTGATTTTCTTGACCTAATGTGCCCCTCTTAAAAAAAGTTACGAATCCGATTATCATTAGAATTGTATTACTATCCTAGCCCTTCAGGATTGGAGGGGTAAAAGAAGCACTTCCTACGATAAGAAGTTTAGGGAATTCCCGTCGCATCAAAGGGCCTGACAATTATCTTGCACTGAGGCCCTTTCGCACCTAGCTGCGCCGCTGGATATATTTATATAATAAATATTGTCCCTATAAAACCTTTAATGTAACTTAAAAGATAACAAAAACCTACGTCTTGCATGTGCACAGCTATGATTTTTGTTCCCATTGCAAATGTTGTTTAACTAACAAAAAGAGCAACATACTATAGTACTCTTCTAATAATAGCCTCATATTAGAGAATATTTGGTGAAAACTATAAATATATAAAATACACTGATAAGAATAAAATTAAATATATAATTTTAATCCACAATATATTCCCATTTTTTGAGAAACAAACATTATATTTATCAATGTTGTAGGTAAATTTGTGTCTGAATGCGATGTGTTTTTTCCAATGTTAAGATTGTGGTGGGAGACTCCGTGCTGATCAAGGCGTTCTGAAATCACCGGGATATCCAAGCAACTATCAGAACGGCTTAGATTGTCAGTGGCATATTGTTGTTAGCCCAGGCCGCACGATACAGACCTCGTTCAACGACTTCCAGCTGCAAAGCTCCTCAAACTGTGCCAACGATTTTGTACAAGTACGCATACAATTTTCAATGATAATAGACACGAAATGAGACTTATCGTTGGTGAAATCATATCGAGATATTCACCAAAATAGATCAAAGCCAACATTTTTTCAAAATTTTGATTTTTATGTTTTTGAATAACTTGATACTTATATTTTATAATTGTGTACTTTTTAAGTAGATTTTCTTACTAAAATCGTGTTCTGCCTATCTTCCGTAATTCTAGTCCTATTGTTTGTCAGGTTAGTTTATCTTTGAGGCCAGTTTTCTCAAAACCTGGTTCTCATACACCTAAACTTTAAATGCTAACATCTCTGGATCTATTTATCCTAGGGAAGCCATTCAAAAACCAAATTAAAGCTTTTCTAACGAGGAGACTCATTTTGTAGTGAGACCTCACATATATCATATTATTTGTTTCCCCAGTACAATAAATATATAATTATGTTGACTGGCAGGAATGCCGAAATGATTCTTATTGTGCTGTTATCACAGCACATGGCTAACAATACGTACACCTCATTCACTGACTTCCAGCTGTGAAGCTATGATTTTCAATGAAGATAAATAGTTTTGAAAAGATATATTCTATTGTCTCCAATCGAGAAACAAATTGAACACGATTACTGTTTGGCTATCCAGCATACTCCTATTATGAACTCTCAAAGTATTTATTGTAAAATCATGACCTAATGCACTCGAAAACAAACAATACTGAACTGAAGTACTACGTTTTCAGTGGAGTATCTTGGGGAGGAGGGACCTGTGTGTGAGCAACGGTCGCCATGAAAAATCGTGCTCAAATACTGTAGATAAAAATAACCTCCAATCACTTTGTTTATTTTGCAAGCTACCCCCACTCACCCGATCATCGAGCCCCCCTCCCCATTTTACTTTGAGTCTACGCCATTGTATGTTTGAAACAATACTAGTATGTTTGAATCACTGGATTTTGTTTATGTATAGCATCTTGTGCACATAGTTGTCTTGTAAAAAATATTGCTACCTAGACAATGATCAAGTTCATTAATAATAGTAATTCTTGGCCAATATGTGCATGAACAATGAATAATAATAGGTGAAAATCTCAGAGATATTAGTCTCAGTCTTGTAACTATGATATTAAATGGATATGTGTCACTTCACACTGGCTAATAACATTACTTGCCTAGTTCTTGGCAAAGGTATGACTTTGGTCAGACAGCACATACTTTAAATAAAACATTATGCACCATTTTATCAGGTGTATTTGAAGCAGCGCCACCAACATTAAATGGCTTGCAACTTTTCTCTGGGGACCATTCAGCAGAGCAGCAGTAACAGAAAACAAAAACACTGCACGTTTTATGCACTCCTATATTCTTTTTTTTTTTTGGTTTTGGCATTTGGTATTTAAAGATTTGTACCTCAGTCCCTTGACTGTGCCAGTCGTTGGGGGAATGTGAGTACAAAAGAAGCCAACAAGTTTCTCCATGCTGTTCTGTTGACTGCTGTCATAAGGATTTCCGGGAAAGCCAGTCCTGACTATTTCTGATGTTACCTACATAACTTTTGAGAAACTTTTTTTTCTTTACTTTTTTTTAAAAGTCTAGGTTACAGTAAGAAAGCCCTGCACAGGTAAAAATTGGTAACTAAAATGAAATGTCTTTGGATGTCCCCTAGCGGTAGTTTCCAGATTCTCAGAAATTTTCATTTCAAATTTGGCGGAAATGGTGTCTACATTTAACAAGAACTATTATTTTGTACTTTTCTTCTATATAGTTCTTCAATGGTGAGTCGGTTAATTCTCCAGCCTTGGGGAGCAGTAATAAATACTGTGGAAGTAGTGTTCCGACTTTACCAGTAACTGGGAGTAATATGTTAGTAGTAAGAATGGTAACCGATGCCAGCGTGAATGCCAGAGGTTTTAGCATGACCTTCAGTGCACAACAAACAGGTAGGCCTATCACTTGTGCTAGGTGTTTTATTTGTCTATTTCTTGGAGAGGTCACCTGTGCACTGTCTTCATTTTTCATTTTTTGTATTTTGGAATATAATGCTTGAAAGGTGAATGAATAGATGGATGGATGGAGCAATCAATCAATGATTTTGTATTATGGATTGATAGCTAAGTGGTCAAAAATGTTAATGCATATTTCAATATTTTTTCTTACCAGGCTGCGGTGACAGCTTTACTTTGAGTAACGTCCCAAGTGGTCAGTTTATGTCACCAAACTTTCCAAATAATTATCCAGATAACACAGAATGTGCTTGGACGTTTAGTTCCCCGGTGGGTGAAGCTATTCAGCTGGACTTTGTTGAATTCGACCTTCAGACATCTTCAACGTAAGTAGAACGTAAAATATTCCTATCAAAGTTAAGGACTAAAGGCCTGTTTATACTTGCAACGATAACAATAAAAAGCTAAAAAAACAGTTACTTTTTGTCGTTATCGTTATCGTTGCAAGTATAAACAGGCCTTAAAAGAGGGCTGACTTTTGGAGGGGAACATTTAGGGTATGAGAAGAGAGAAGCACACAGAAATAGGATAACTGACTCTATGACAAAGTGACTTTAACATTTTATTTTTCTTTGGTCTCGAGCATAAAAGAAAATTAATGGACTCGCCCTAGCTCACCTATACACACCCTGCGTGAATGAACAATATTCTTGTTTCCTTCTCGCTGATATTGATGATTTGAAAGAAAAGCTTACCCATTGTCTGATAAAAGTGTCTTTGCCTCCTGATTTCTACAGACAGAGCTACATGATTTGTTTGTGCTAGCGCCCTGCTTAGCCTGGCTTTGTGTAGGCTTTGACTTTTCCAGCGTTTAACCAGTTTTGCCTGGTTTTACTGCTCATTTCCTGTAACAGGCTTTAAGTTTAATTTAGCCCATTCCATCTGAAAATGAATGAGAGGAGCAACAGGATTGAACCAGGATCAAAGTGCACACACGGTGGCTGCAGGAATCCAGTGGCTACCACCAGTTTAGCTGACTGCCCTTAGCTTCTCTTTGATTAAGGAACTTGGATGCAGATTAATTGCTTATTTTCCAGTCAAAAGATTTTGTTAAAAGAACATCGCCACTCCTTCGGGTCCTCACTAAGCCTTGTACAGAATGTTTTTTCCTAGACCCTCAAGCATCTTGAACCATTGGCAGATTCAATGGGAGCCTGGGCCTCCCTAAATTTTTCAAAATTTAAAGAAAAATGAAAAATAGGAAAATTATACTTAAATTTTAAGTGTGAGAGTGCCATTTCCAGTCATCTACACAGGGGTCCCAAGTCTCTCAGACTTGCGGGGCAGGAGTCTCCCGGAAATCGGGATGGCCTCTTGCACTTCCTCAAGCCAGCAAGAATCTCTTGGAAATTAACCCATCTCTGCAAATTCATAATTTTGCATGTTTTCACTGCTTTATTCCCCCACCCTTCGAGCAGCCACCGCAGATCTCCCGGAAATGGCTTCTTTTGGGACCTCTGTCTAGAGGTGCCATAATAATCAATATTCTCACCTCAGCCCTCGGGACTGTGGTGTGACTGAGGTACACACCCAAAATCTGAAAGCCTCTCCCTGGGCGCCCTCTATTTCAAATTTCTGGATCCACCGCTGTGAACATCATTAGGATTGTAGCATGTCTATATGGAATAACAACATACAATTTAATTGATATGTCAACAACATTAAAAATTTTACTTTTCTCACTTTTGATTTTCTCTTGAAGGTGTGATAATGACTATCTGGATGTGTATGATGGGCCAACTGAGAACTCCAATAGACTAGCAAAACTTTGTGGGACTCAAATTCCAAGCACAATTGTGTCTTCTGGTAATGCAATGTATGCTGTATTTCGCTCGGACTACACGCAAACATTATCCGGATTCAAGGCCAACTATGCCATTGGTAGGTATACAGTAGCATTAATCAGTAAGAGTTTATTAACCCCATTTATTTTCCCACCACCCATCTTTTCACTATCTTATTTAGCAAACCCGCCGCCCTCCAAAAATGATGATTTTGAATAAAAATATAATTTTATATTTGGCCAATTAGCACACCTGCTGCCACAGAAAAATCACAATTTCAGAAATATGTATTATTAACTTTATTTTTATTACACCTGCCGCTGCCTTGAAATCTTGAAAAATAAGATGTGTATATTTCTTTCTAATTATGTAAACTTTTAACCATCCCATTTAACACTACTTTTTGTATTTATTTTCTACTCCACAGTCTGGATGCTTTTGGCAGAACCATTTACTAAATAAAAAAATAAAATTTTAGTTTAATTTTTTTTCTGCCCTCTTCTGATGATCTTTAAGAAAATAAGTTCGCGAAACATTTTCTCTTTCTGTATTTATTACTCGGGGCCTCCTGAAAATAGTTAGTGGATTGGAGATGTGGCTTGTTTGAATCCGTACGACTGTCGTATGACGACCCCAACTCTGCTGCCTTTGAGCACTAGATGACATGATGTCCTCTCTGATTGTTGGTGGCAGTTTGAACGGATTGTCATTAAAAACGATTTGTTGCGTACGCGTCCCCGCATTGCGTTCTTCATAGAATCATGTTGGCCGACAACCGTCGGTGCCCGGCTTAAGATGCCAGCTTCCAATTACATGGTCCTAGTTAAATTCCAGTCAAAACAATTATTTTTCCTCCCAACTACAAATAACTCTACTTCATAAACCTCACAATGAAAGTTAGTTTCTATGGCATCAACACCATTTTGCAAGAGACGAGTCATTCATGTAATTTTTAATTCTTTACAACCTTAATTGGCTTAACTGGTTTATGCACTGAACTTTTAAAATCTGTGCATATTAACTTTGGTCCCTAGTTCAATTCGATCTGCTGCCCTCTTTGTTTATAACCTTTAATTTTTGTATATTAGCTAAATGATAGAAATGCAAGTTTCAACAGCCACCCTCTTTCAATAGGTAATTAAGACATTGGTATAATATTAGCCGTGTGCCCGTTAAAGAATGCAGGTTACAGTATCTTTGGAAAGGTGTAGGGGATTGTCTCTCAGAGTAGTGCCCAATTCACCATTGAAGGATCATACTAGAAATATGTCTTCAAACTATCGTGGGTTATCCTTGGTACCCAAACCAAATTAAACCCAATTCTAATCATTTCACATCACAAAGAACCATGTGATAGCTATTCATTTCATATATTGTAGTGTATGTACAGTAGTTGTTTATGATCACCTTTTTTTTGTGTATTGTTTCTTGATGACAAAATAATGAAATGAAATTAATTGAGAAATACATACAGATATATAATCAATAAAATGTTTGTTCCAACCTTTTATGATTTGGCCTGTTGAAACATGCATCTGGAATAGATGATAAATACAAAGCAACTGAATTTTTAAAGGATCTATTAACTCAAATATTCTCTATTATGAATTTCAGCAACCTGTGGTGGAACAGTTGCAGGTACTGGCGGAAATGTCACTTCGCCCAACTTTCCAGCTGTTTATGACAATGACCTGAATTGTGAGTGGATATTCCGTGGTACTACTGGCCACTACCTCACTGTCAGTTTCTCTGTTTTCAACCTTGGTGCCAATACTGATAACTGTGCAACTGGAGATAAAATTGAGGTTTATGATGGCAAAAATGACTCATGTAAGTAAGAGGTTCATCTTACAGTCATATTGTACAGTTCTGGATCTTGGATTTTTTTTTTTTTTTTTATGAAGGAGAGACCTATGTTCCAAGGGGTAGAAACAGGATCTATGGCCTAAGGAAGGAGGTTGGTATGTCTCTATTGCTGGGGCCCAGTGTGGTAATCAAAACTATCTTTTGAAAAATCCAATTAGTAGATTAGCTTTGTTTTAAATGATTGAAGATTGTTATTTGGTTCTTTGAGAAAGTGGTCTTGAATTAGAATTGTCTCGATTTGGAGGGTGCACTGTATAATATAATATTGTCAGATGATAATGCACTAAATACATATTACACTATGTAAGACATAATATTGTATTAGTATTAATGCACTACTAGGAAAATGCTGAATTTTTAGCTGCAATGAGGAGCTCTAGAAGTACTCGGCTGAGTGATTAATAGATCATTTTTAGCTCTACTGCCTCTATTATACTGCCCTCATGAGGCTGATTGATTAAAAGTTGATTGATCAATATATCTTTTTTAGATCTACTGATTAATAGTTGATTTATTAATGGATCTTTCTGCCCTCATCGGAGATTTCGAGACTACAAGATTTTATCTAATGTTTGGTTATTAAATTTCAGTTATAGTATAATTATAGTTTTGTTTGTTGTTTAAATTATGGCCTTAATAATCACCTCTATGTAGCTAGAAATGATACCTTCACTGAATAAAAATGAATTAAATGAAAGCACTAATTTATCTTAAGATCCGCTTGTTGCAACCCACTGTGGAACATCGTTGCCCGCAGCCGTTGACACCTCCGACAGTTTTGCCTTTGTGCGATTCACCTCTGATGCAACTCAGCAGTCATCTGGCTTTATAATGGGTTTTGATTCCAGTTTAGAAGGTAAGCTCTTTAATATATCCTTCATATTTTTTTCATTGGATTTATATAGCACACATCACTGTACATAGCATATTTTTTCTTAGTCATCGTGTATAGATAAAATCATACACAGCATGCAACCTCCTCTACTTCCTAGAGAGTGTTCCTGGTTATGTGTGTGATTCACTCCGAATCGTTCACCTCCTACCAGGCACCAATTTACACTCCTGGGGATAAGAGAGGTAAAAGTCTCATGCCGAAGGACACAAGCAGTGTCACGTATGTTTTTACACTTTCTTTTTGTAGGACCTTCGCAACAATATCCAAGGGGTGTGGCTTAGCAGGAAGGTTAGTTACGATAGACTAAAATGTTGACAATTTTGCTTTTTTGTAGACTGTGGTGGAGATTTGGTTACCAATACGGGTGCGTTTACATCTCCTAACTATCCTGGATTGTATGCGCATGCACGTGTTTGTGAGTGGAGAATCACCGTGCAGAGCGGACACCGAATTACATTGGATTTTACAGATTTTGACTTGGAAGATAATGGTTGTCATTATGATTATGTAAAGGTAGACATACTTTGAATTTTATTGACTTTGACTTGGAAAATCATCCACATTGTGGAGGTAAACATATAATTTTTAGAGAAATATCTCTTGAAATGTATGAAGTACAGTAAGATAAATAATACTCTTGGTACAGTTATTGTTGAGAATATGAGTAACAAGTATGGTTTATTTATTGATTTGTTAAAGGTATAAAATTATTTTTGAATTTTTTTTTTCCAGTCAAATAAAAATGGCATCACTCACATCTGTTGATAATAAAACATCTTCAGAAGATGTACTGTAGCAGTCCACTGCTAGACATATCCTTCCCTCCTTCCATGCTCCTGCTCTTTTTTGTTGCAAACAGTTGGTTTTGCTCTACTATCTTAGATCATTGCGATTGTTAATAAGCTCACCTTAACAGCAACTGACCTAGACAATGTCTATGCTAATTTTTAGTTTGATATAAAGAATCATTAAACTACTCATTTACACATGTTTAGATTGTCAGTAGACAAGAAAAATAATGATTTCATTTATTCTGCCATTCTTTAAAACCAGGCTCTGGAGGGAAAAAAAATGTTGATATGTTGTAGAACTGATTTTTCTAAACAAAATTCTTGTCATTCACAAGATAAACAAAAAGCAAATTCATTTGCTGGATTGATGGATGGATAAACACCAAGGGTAACCCACGAAAGTCTAAAGAAGACTTGTTTCCAGCGCGGTCCTTCACTTGGTGATTGGGCAGTACACCGGGAGACAATCCCCTACTATTTTCCGAATAGTGTGCTGCGTTCTTTAACGTGCACACGGGCCATAATGCACACAGGACTAACAACTTAAAGGTCGCTTCGAAAGACGGTGCACTATCGTAACTTGCATTTCAGCTGAAACTCTAGGAGAGCAGCGATGGGAACTGAACCGGGGACTACAGATCTCTACGGTTCATCGGACACACAGTGGCTACCACCAGTTTAGCTTAGCTGCTCACAGTATTTTTTTTCTCTGACAAGTGCATAACAGTAACATTAAAAACATTAAATAGAAAAGTATGGTCTGCAAATCAATAAAAAGTTACTTTGATTTGATTCATTAAACATTAATCAACAATTTTTAAAGATTTTTTAACATATCTTTTATTTAATAAGATATTCTTACAAAGCCCTAGCTTATGTTCTGTATTAGTAATGGTGTGTGTAATATTTACAGGTGTACAATGGGCTGGATGATCAAGCGCCATTGCTTGGTACGTACTGCGGAGCCACGGCACCTCAGGATATTGCATCATCTGGTAACCGCATGCGGGTAGTGTTCAGGACTGACTATAGTGAAAATGCTCGTGGATTTTCGGCAACCTATGATTCTCAAGATGCATCAGGTATATTTAAAAAAAAATAGAAAATTAGGATTTTAAATTTGATGTCCTTGTTTAATTTGATGGCTTGAACTTGAATGAATTTGCTATCATTTATTACCGTGTATACTTGCGAATAAGGCGATCTATGTGTAAGATGACCCCTGAGTTTTGAGAAGATTTTTGGACGATTTTTATATGTTAGGTGTATAAGATGCTTATTTCCCCTGCATTTAAAATTGTGCTCATTCATACTTATAGTAAGTAGCTTCATTTCAGTAGAAAATGCACTTAATGGAGAATCCGAACATAAAACGAGCATGATTTAAAAATAAAAAATGTGTATGTGTTGCACATATAAAAACGACCTCCTGGATTTTTTATCGTAATTTGCTAATTTAAGCCTGGTTTTAAATGCATGTTTGTTTACTCACCTGTGTAAAATCACTATTTGGTACCATAGGAAGGCTTTCAACATCCAAATATAATAAATAATAATAACTTCATTTAATAAAGCGCAAAACAATATCCATTAAAAATGTTCATCGGCGCTGTACAGAATTTAAAAATATTCATAGACTTCACTTAGAAGACATAGAACATACACTTTAAACACATAAGAAATATACATTAAAAGCTAATAGAAATGTAAATATAAATAAATTGGTCTGATTCTGGTCATTTTCTTGGTACCTTGAGCAAGGCAATTAATCCATTTGTTCTCTCATCACATAAAGAGTGTGTACCTTGGAGCTTTGGATGCCACTGGGTAGAGCTTTTGGTATCTTGCGCAATATACCTACAGGGGAGGATCCTGATTACTGATTGGTGGAAGAGGGGTTGGGAGGCTCAATTTTAAAAGTTTTTGCTCAGGAAAGTAGTAACATAAAAAGTTCCATGGACCTTCCCATGGAAAAGGTTTGCACCATAGATTTGCTGAAAATGAGCCGTGAGGTCTTTCAGTGATTCTGCTATTAAAGTTACTGTAACACTGTACATTATTGTTAACCCTTTGCTCTATGAACAGTTTGCGGCGGCAGTCTGGTAGCATCCCAATCCAACGAAGCCACATTCTTCAGTCCAGGCTATCAATTAACAAACTACAGTTCGAATCTTGACTGCGAATGGACCATCAGTAATCCTGACATTGTAAACTCGAGCTTGTATCTTCGGTTTGATGTTGGTTGGAATATTGAAGATCATCGTGATTGTAGTTATGACTACTTGGAAATCAGAGCCGGTAAGTAGCAAAAAAATGTTAGTTGAGAGAGCATAAGCATGCACAAGATTTGTAATTTCAAAAATGGGATATTATGTACCTGATTATCAGTTAAATCAGTTTTAAAAAATTTAAAAATTGGTAAAAATCTCTTTTAAAAATTTACACAATTCAAAACAACATTTAAAAAATACATAAATTCTATATCACTCTAAAATAGAGGAAAAAAAAAGAGATAAAATAAATGATATTAAATTAAATTACTTCTGCAGCAACTATATATATATTTCTCTCAGATTACTTAGGAAATGTTTTATACATTTGATTGAACAAATAATTGGTGTTTATACATAAATTGCAGGTACTGATGTAACCGGAACTTTGATTGGTCGTTATTGTGGTCCAACGGCACCAGAAAAAATTGTAATTGGTCATCCATCGATGTATGCAAGATTTGTGACGGACACTAACACTGAGAAGGATGGATTCAAAGCCTTCTATGGTGCTTCAGGTTAGTGTTATTTTTCATTAGGAAGCTTTCTATTTGTGCAACAGCGTGATGCTAGCTTCGTAAAAACCGTACAAAGTCAAAAGAGCCATTTCCGGCATGAAAAATGGGGCGTGGCACCTAAATTTCAAAATGTCATAACTTAAAAACCGCTTGGAAATTGAAGCTGAAATTTTGGATTCTTTCTTTGACACATCAAGGTATTTTTAGAAATTTTTTTCAGGAAAATATAAAAAGTTGGTGGGGTGGGGGGTCACATGGCATGGTGGTTGATTTGAGCCAGAATGACCCAATACAATTAAATGATTTTTGTGTTTCCAAAAATGTTAAATCTGTCATTTTCCCAATTTTTTTACCATTAATATTTTTAATATGTTTATCTGGCATGCATGCACGTATGTATGTATCAATACATCAATGCATGCATGCATGTATTATACACCTTTGGCAAGATGTACGATTCTAATATTTCTAGAAATCTGCTGAAGGAAAAAACCTGAAATTTATTAACACTTACGTTTAAATTTGATATTGTAGTTTGTGGCGGGTTGTTGTCAGGTACAGACGGTGTCATTACAAGTCCAAATTACCCAAGTGATTACAACTATAATGATGGTTGTGTCTGGGTGATCGAAGGGCCTGTCGGATCAACGCTTACGGTATGATTTCTGCCTTACAAATTTGTGTTAAAATGGCCAATATATGGGCAAGATGTCATATTGCATTAAGATTTTTTAGGCCTTATGTGGTACAAATTACTGTGAAAGTAGAGTATGATTTGTGATGTGCTTTATAAGCACTATATTTTAATGGTATCATTTTTTTACTTAACTCTGCAGTTAACATTTACTTCATTCGATATTGAAACACATCCTAACTGTCAGTACGACTATCTTGCTATTTACAATGGTGGGACATTTGATGCACCGATGACCTCGGGCCAGTATCCGCTGTGTGGCCAGAATGCACCATCCGCTGTCACAACATCCTCCAATAAGGCTGTCGTTAAGTTTATGTCAGATGACATTCAAAATAACTCAGGATTTAGATTAGAATGGACAACTATAACATCAGGTATGGTGTATTTGGCAGAGTAGAAATATTGACTTACCGTAAATTGAAAAAAAAAGTGGTGGTTGATGAGGAGGATGAGAAGGATTATGTGGATTACAAGGAGGATTATGAGTAGGTTTATGAAGAGGATTATGTGGACGATTATGAGGATGATTAGGAGGAGGTTTATGAAAATGTTTATGTAGAGGATTATTTCGAGGATTATGAGGAGGATTATGAGGAGGTTTATGAAGAGGATTATGAGGAGGATTAGGAGGAGGTTTATGAAAAGGTTTATGAAGAGGATTATGTGGAGGATTTAGAGGAGGTTTATGAAGAGGAATATGTAGAGGATTATGAGGATGATTAAGAGGTTTATGAAAAGGTTTATGAAGAGGATTATGTGGAGGATTGTGAGGATATGAGAATAATGGGAATTATGATAAAGGTGATAATAAATATTGTATTAAGGAGGATAATGGGAAGGATTATGATGAAGGTGATGAGGATTAAGGACACGTTACACTATGACGATAACGATCAACAATAAAAAGCAATTGTTCATATAGAAAACGAAAGACGTTTTTACATTAGCACGATTCGACAACGATTGATTGTGTGTACGATAAAAAATAATTTCACAAATCAAATGATGTCATAATCATGATTTTACTACTACGATTTTATCATTTTCCCATGATTATGATGTTATTTGATATGATTTGTGAAAATAATTTTTTATCATATACATGATAAATAGTTATCAAATTGTGCTAATGTGAAAACTCATTTCTTTTATTTTATCATTGATCGTTATCATCAGTGTGTAAACAGGCTTTTATGATAAAGATGATGAGGATGATAAGGATAAGTTTTATGATAGGATGAGAATGAGATCAGGAGAAGTTGGATGTAGAAGAGACTGAGTAGGAGAATAGATGGAAGAGAAGATGAGGATAAGGATGAAAAGATTATTTATGCTGATGTGTTGAAGATGATATATATATATATATATATTATATCAATTATTTAATATAATTTGTATTGCAAAATAATACAGTGTAATAATAATAATAATAATCATCATTAATATAAAAGATCATCAAGTATGTGCCATATTTTGTATCAATATATTTAGTTTACATTTTAAAATATATTTTTCTGCAAGGTTGTGGAGGAAATTACCATGGAAATACTGGAACTATTAAAAGCAGTAATTATCCCAGTAATTACAATTCTAACGAAGAATGTATTTGGACCATCACTGTTGAGCATGGCTATCATGTCCGCTTTAATTTTGACAGTAACTTTGACATTAAAAGTACAGTTGGCTCATGCACAGGTGATGTCTTATCTGTAAGTAATGTTCCATTTTAATAGGTTATGTTGTTAATAACTTATATTTCCTTTACAATCAGTTAATAATTATGTTGATTTTTTAGTGTGATTTATATTGATTATAAATTTGAATGAAATGCACCATAGCATAAGGCTTAAGAAGATACTGTAGAAAATGTGTTACCTTATCAGAAACTATTTAACTGTATAAATTATGTTTAGTTGATGAAGAATTAGAGAAGGCACAGTGTTAGTGTGTAAATAGGCTTACCAATGTTTAAGTGAATGAGCCAAGATGTCTTGCAACAGATGGGGAGATCCTATGGAAGAGAAAGGTCATCAAAGCAGTGGTGGCTAAACTGTAAAAAAAAAACAGTCTTGTCGCTAGTCCGGATAAGAAATCAAGGACCAACACCAGGGGTCCCAAGTTGGAAAAATCCTTTTTGGGAGATCTGCTTAAATGAGCTTTTTTAACATATTTAATTTTATTTTGCTGCACATGATGATAATCATCGGCACTGACTTTGTAGTATTAAGTGTTAAGCATCAGACATGTTGATTTAAATACTAATATATGAAAATGTACTTTCATCTACAGGCTTTTGATGGTGATTCCACATCCAGTGCACCTCTTGGGAATTTCTGTGGAAGCTCTGCACCATCAACAGTCATTTCAAGCAACAACAAACTGACTTTCAGAATGCGTTCAGATGGCAGTAACGAAGGTGTTGGGTTCCAGGGATCATGGACTGTAGGTAGGTGGGAAAATAAGGGTAAAGTGTCACTTTATGAAAGGTGTGACATTTACTTGTATACTTGTTGATATTGGACTTCAGGAAGGTGTGACTTTGTGTGACATTGAAGTTGGACTTAAGGAAGATGTGACATTGGGAATGGACTTTAGGTGGCATAAATATTGGACTTCAGGAAGGTGTGACATTGGGAATGGACTTTGGGTGACATTAAAATTGGACTTAAAGGTGTGACATTGGGAATGGACTTCGGGTGACATTGAAATTTGACTTTAGGAAGGTGTGACATTGGGAATGGACTTTGGATGACATTGAAATTTGACTTCAGGAAGGTGACATTGAAATTTGACTTTAGGAAGGTGTGACATTGGGAATGGACTTTGGATTACAATGAAATTGGACTTAAGGAAGGTGTGACATTGGGAATGGACTTTGGGTAACATTGAAATTTGACTTCAGGAAGGTGTGACATTGGAATGGACTTTGGATTACAATGAAATTGGACTTCAGGAAGGTGTGACATTGGGAATGGACTTTGAGTGACATTGAAATTTGACTTTAGGAAGGTGTGACATTGGGAATGGACTTTGGGTGACTGAAATTGGACTTAAGGAAGGTGTGACATTGGGAATGGACTTCGGGTGACACTGAAATTGGACTTAAGGAAGGTGTGACATCAGGAATGGACTTTGGGTGACACTGAAATTGGACTTAAGGAAGGTGTGACATTGGGAATGGACTTTGGGTGACATTGAAATTTGACTTCAGGAAGGTGTGACATTGGGAATGGACTTTGGATTACAATGAAATTTGACTTCAGGAAGGTGTGACATTGGGAATGGACTTTGGGTGACATTGAAATTTGACTTCAGGAAGGTGTGACATTGGGTATGGACTTTGGGTGACACTGAAATTGGACTTAAGGAAGGTGTGACATTGGGAATGGACTTTGGGTGACATTGAAATTTGACTTCTATTGAGGAAGGTGTGATATTGAGTGTGGATCGCAGTTGAATGGGGCAGTGTGGGCTGACCTGTGGGTTTATGAGACAGTGTAGTCATACTAGGTGTTTGATGGCATGTCTGCTTCAATTGAACTCGTATCTTTTAAAAGCCATACACATTAAATTAAAACTGAAAATGTGTGTTTGAGTCTTGTATGTGTATAGGTGTGTGTCTGTATTTGGAACAACATACTAATAATATATAAATTATTTCTATTTTTTTTGTCAGAATGTGGTTTAACATTCAATGCTACAAATGGAACTATTACATCGCCTGGGTATCCAAACCGCTATGATAGTGATCTTTCATGTGATTACCTCATTAACTACGATTCCACACAGCGACTTCGTCTACGATTTAAAGATCCATTTGGAATTGAGGGTAAGCATGTTAGGTAGCATAGCATTGTTAGCATGAAGAAAAAATCAATAAATAATTGCTAGTGGAATGTACAGTGCGGAAACATATCCTAGAAGGCAGGCTGATATTCAGGGGCCCTCATCTTTTGATGGTTTTATCAGCGAAGTATCTTTATGGGGCTTAGGGAGTGGAATTGTTTTTAGTCATTAGAAGAAAGTCCTGCTGTCAGAGGATTTGAACCCAGGACTCTGGGATTAGAAGGCAAGCATCTTAAACACTAAGATATTCAACTCCACACATAGCACTAGGTTTTGACATAAGTATGTATAACCGCGATCAATGATGTTACTTTCTCATTTTAGGAATTTTAAAACATGACCTCTGAAGAGATATTCCTAAATAATGGTACATTTGAAAGTGAAAGTGTTTTTCAGTAATGCTCTATAGTTTTTTGGTTTTTTTTCGGGGGTCGGGGGAAGACAATATTTTTTTCTGCTGCAGCATTGATAGGAAAATTTGTGGCATCTACAGTAGGAGTATTGATATGGGGGAAAGGTGGGGCCATGGCGTGACGTTTAAGAGGAGTCTCAATCCTTAACCCTTGAATACTTCATTGTAATTTCTTTGATAGGCAAATTTCTAGGGGTGGGACGCCTGGGAGTGTGAAAAATTAACAAGAGGTCAAATGTAGTCCAATCCACAACTGGTTGAAGAGTTGAATGTAATTTTTAACCTATGTATCAAATTTATGTTATCATTGTAACAGGCGGAACAAGTTGTCCCTATGATGGGTTATCACTCTATGAGGGAACTAGCAGTGCAGGCAGCTTGATTGGTACATACTGTGGTGATTCAGTACCGGACATGGTTGAAAGAGAAGGATCAATGTTTATGAACTTTTATAGTGATGGATCGGATAATGACATTGGGTTTTCACTGATATTTGAACAAGGTAGGACAGTTACATAAGGGCTGGGGTTTAAGACTTTTTGTATTTGCTTATATCTGATACAGCAAAATATATTTCATATTATCTTGTTTGACAAAGGAACAAAAGAGGTTGTCCGATCCAAACTTAACGGTGTGTTTCTTAAAGTTTTCTTACATTTTCACACTACAAGAAATTGTCTTAATTTTGCAGGTTGTGGTGGTAACTACACAAGTTCATCTGGTGAAGTTTCAACACCACAAGACTTTGAATCCTACAGGCACAATGAGAATTGTACCTGGCTTATCACAGTCAGTAACAACAGAGTAATTGAGATAATGTAAGTGACAACAACATACATAATTATAATTGTCTCAAAGTATCTTTATTGATTACATGAGTTATCAAAGTATGATTGCAAGTTACTATTCTCGTCCCAGTTATTACCCTCGCCTCTCCGAAGGAGAGGTGAAAGGTAATGGCAGAATGCGTCTGTCTGTGTGTCTTTCTAGGCGCATAACTCAAAAACCAGTGGACCGATTTAATTCAAATTTTCACACATTGACGGTGTTACTTGTATCTCGGTGCTGATTGCAAGTAAGATACAAATTTTGGAACGTTATTTTCCTACCACAACAGACAGGGCCAACTCAAGCGGATCGTTTGACTTGGCCGAGCCGACTCGTGCGGAGAGACCGCAGACTGCCAGAATAGGGGGTGGGTCAAAGTCTGGCGGGCGGACTGGAAGTAGTTCATACAGTGTGCAAACTCACCCAATTGATGGGCATGCCACGTGAGGCCTATGATGCTAGGCCTCGTTTGAGGCCTGTGATGCATGGCCTTGCTTGGCAGATCGACCGGATTGACTGCGGGCCATAATTTTTTCTGTACATAAATATGGCACGACAAGGTGAGGGTTTGTAATCTCAGATTATTTTGTTTGTTATAATGTAATCAACTGTGCCCTAACAATGATTTTTATCCCAGCTGTGCGGTGTGAAAATATGTTGATCTGACATTAGCTTAGAACAGAACTAAAGGTGTCACCCTCATTAATTTTCAAATAGGTCTAAAATAATCTCAGGGGTCTCAAGTCTCCCGCGAGTCACCAAGGTCTTCTGGAAATTCAGACGGCCTTCTGCAAGAAAGTAATATATCTCCCAGAAACCAACCCATCTCTCACAAAATTCATTACTTTTACCAATTTTTACTAGTGTATTATCAATTTTTGCCCAGATGACAACTGGTGATGCAGAGCAAAATAAAGTTACATGTATTAAGAATGCTCATTTGACCAGATCTTTCAGAAGTGCCTTCTTCCAACTTGTGACCCCTTGACCTTTAGAGAGCAGGTTAGCTCAGTCTGCTAATATGGTGGTAGCCACTGTGTGTGTGCAGAACCGTGGGAATCTCTAGGTCCCCGGTTCAATTCCCATAGCTGCCTCTCCTTGTGTGTGCAGAACCGTGGGAATCTCTAGGTCCCCGGTTCAATTCCCATAGCTGCCTCTCCTTGTGTTTCAGCTGGAGGGCTGAAATAGAAGTTACAATAGCTCACTTCGGATGAGACGTTTAAGCCGTTGGTCCCTTGTGCATTTATGGCCCATGTGCACGTTAAAGAATGCAGTATACTCTTCGGTAAAGAGTAGCTGATTGTCTCCCGTGTAATGCCCAATCACCACCAGGACCCCACTGGGAATAAGTCTTTTTCTAGAATTTTTTCGTGGGCTATCCTTGGTGTTTAAACTGAATCCTAATCCCTGTACTATTCAGTGATTCTAATCTTAGCGAGCTAAATTCTATCAAATGCCATGTGATGGAAATTTACTTTGGGAACCAAATTTAAATGTCTGCATTCATCTACTACCTGTCTACCAGCAAAGCTAATTATTTGGGTGTTTAACCTTTATTTTGTTTCGATTATTTATATTAATCCGCTCTTGCATCATTTCTGCATTCTTGCAATTTGTTTTATTTTGGTTTTTTTTTTGGTTTTTTTTGTAGCTTTTCAATGTTTGATATTGAAGTACATCCATCCTGCAATTATGATTCCCTGACCATTTACGATGGGGACTCCTTGAATGCTAATGTACTAGCTGGACCATTATGCGGACAGGAAATCCCTCAACCCATCAAGAGCACCTCCAACACTATGCTACTCAACTTCGTGTCTGATTATTCTGTGGCCAATGCAGGCTTCCGAGCTGGTTACTTTGAAACGTTCAGTAAGTATATTGTTTTCTTTAAATTTTTGATTAGTTATTTTTTGGGTTTTATAAATTTTTATTTTAAATGGTGTATCATAACAGTTAAGTAGCAAACTACTGTTTCCTGGATCATATATGCTTGAAGGGCACATAGAAAAAGTGATTAGATTATGACTCTTTTTTTTTTTAAATTGATGAGTGAGCGCAGTTTTTTTTTCTTTTAATTGGAACAATAGATTATTTCGCTTTTGTATTTATCGATGAGGGATGGACTGTTTATATTTGGTCTGTAATAGTAAATATTGTATAAAAATTGGTTTAATTTTATAGTTTCTTAAAGAAATTGTATTTGAAGTCACAAAATCGCATTGTTATTTTTACGCTGTTGAAATAATTGATGCGGCAAAAAAAAAAAATATCTGGCTTGCATATTTTGACTAGTTTTGTTAAACTCTTAATTATGTATTTTTTTCACTGAAAATGCTGAAACACTTGAGGCTTGCCATTCCAAAACCAGTGTACAGTCGCTATATGTTAAAAAACTGAGCATTAGAATGTGGTAGTATTGTATACTTTATTACAAAGAAGCCCAAATGCTTTGACTCATCATTTAAACTTTGACATAGTAAGTCAATTCCAGTTAAAATGACCCATCATTTTAAAGCTTATAATGTAGAGAGTATGAATATATTAAAAAGTCAGTATTCTGGTTTTGATCATTGATGTTGGTTTTGGGATGGCAAGCCCTATAGGTGAACCACTTCACAACCTGTTATTCGACCTTGTGGGTCAGTAAAACCAATATTATCTTGTGCAGTACAAGATACTTTAAAGCAAATTTCCCTCACCTTATATGGGACAATGTTCCAGTTGGGAAGCAAATATACTTCTGTTTGGTTTTTAAAAAAAATATATAGTAGATACTTATAACACATTTTTTTTTTAATGTAAGCATAGTTTTGTTTATAATGTTAAGCTATTTTTTATTGTTATTTCAATTTAGCCAGTGAAAACAAATTTTGAAAATTTAATACTAGTGGCAAGTTTTTATATTAATGTACATAGTTTATAAAATTTATAAAGCACTGAAATTAAATATTTCACAATCTTCCAACAAGGCGAAGCACAAGGATGTGGTGGAAGTCGAACAACCCCAACAGGTAGTTTTACAGACGTTGACATAGATAGTGATGGACAATACGAAAACAACCTGGACTGTACATGGCTCATATCGGTTGATGCCAGTAAGGTGGTTAAGATTTCCTTTGGCAGCTCTATTGGCATTGAGGCTGGAATCGGGGGTCAATGTAACTATGATTACATTCTGGTAAGTTTTTGCATCAGTAAGTTATTTTCTCTCATTACATTTCTGTGCATTTCATTCCATTTCCCAGTTTCTATTTTGGTTTTACATTGTCTCCCATGTCACTTCCTTCTCACAAGCATGGAGTAAAGGCGCAGCTCTAAGGTGTCCACTATTCATAATTATAAAACTAGGTTCGCAAAAAACAAATGTCTTATCTGAAAAATATATATCTTCTCTTAGAAAGAAATCTATTTTTTACAATGGGCCCAAACTTTGGAATTCCTTAGATATTTCCTTTAAGTCTTTACCTAATATTTATTCCTTTAAATCTAACTTGAAAAAATCTCTGGTCTCAGCATATGGCCTGTCTCTTATACACATCTAGATGTGTATAAGAGACAGATTCTAATCTTAGCGAGCTAAATTCTATCAAATGCCATGTGATGGAAATTTACTTTGGGAACCAAATTTAAATGTCTGCATTCATCTACTACCTGTCTACCAGCAAAGCTAATTATTTGGGTGTTTAACCTTTATTTTGTTTCGATTATTTATATTAATCCGCTCTTGCATCATTTCTGCATTCTTGCAATTTGTTTTATTTTTGTGTATATGTATGTGTATATTATACTGTACAGTTATGCATATGTATATGCATATATATGTATATATAATATATATATATTTTTTTTCTTATCTACTTTTGTAATGTTAATTAAGTTTGAATACATTGTACTATTTATGTTGTGTGTGGAGAAACCAATAAAACAAACAAACAAAACAAACAAGGTGTTCCCATTCAAACATTCCGTCGGAAGTGGTGGGGGGGGGGGCTGTATGGATACACGGGTAGGTTTGGGGGCTGCCAGGGCTCCCCAATGAAAAGACAAATGAAATGAAATGAGTACAGTAGCACCTTCTTTAGACTAACGAAATTTATTGAGACACATCAAATGAGGGAGATAGAGAGGGAGAGAGAGAGAAAAAAGAAAAAAAATAGAAGGGAAGTGTGAACATGGTACTCTTCAAAATGAGCTAATTTTTTATTTTAAGTTCTATGTACCAGTGCCTGGTCAAGCATTTTTAAACAAAAATCTTAAACAACACCCACTTCAAATTTCTTGTGTTACTGAGGCAGTTATTACTTTATCAATGTAAGGATAGTTTATGAAATAAATGTTATTAATCTATGATTGAGAACTAAAGAAAGGCACCTTCTGTGCTCTTGCAAAAAATCTTAGCTTCATAGACGTAAGGAAACACTTATTGTTTTTCTTTTATGTTCGTGGGCCATGTCAGTCTATTTCATGAATACTTACTGTACTGGATTACCTGGACTAATTGCCTTTGCTCCCGAAACGGAACACCCCTTTAATTAAAGTATAACAGTCCTACCCAGGATGGCACTTTTGAACAGTCTCCGTAAACAATAGCCCTCATTAACTATTTACTTAGGTTATATTTATTCTCATTCCTTAGATACGAGATGGATTCAGTCCTTATGCTCCACTGGTTGGTAAATTCTGTGGAACCATTGTACCATCTGATTTCATTGCATCATCCAATCAACTTTACGTTAAATTCCATTCGGATTCCGGCATAACTGGAACAGGATTCACAATTAACTATGAAAGTGTTGATCGTAAGTACAACTGCAAGTTTATTAGATGCAAGCTTGGCATTTCAACATAATATTAAAATTGATAATAATAACTACTACTTCTTTTTCTAGTCTTATGTGCAACAATATCTTTCACATATATTTGATGAATCAGAACTGATATTGTACAGTGAACATATATAACAGATATATTTCAACATTATAGTAATAAATGAGGTTTTATCATATCATAATATCCCTTAAAAATTGTGGACCTTCCCAGGGTGTCAATCAAACTTAACAACTGACCAATCAGAACAAGGCAAGGAATGTGTGTGCGTATGTTTTTACATTGTCGTTCAGTGGGACCTTAGCAACTATATGGGCAGGGCTTAGCAGATAGGTCCACTGAATTGTGACTTCAATTTGTTCAAGTCTGTTTCGTGAATACTTACCTGGATAACCGACTAATTGCCATTGTTCCCAAAACGGAACACCCCTTCGAAAAAAAATGGAACAGTCCGACCCAAGGCGCCACGTGCGAACCGTCTCCCTA